CACTTATTATACAGCATAATCCCGCGATATGCCAGTCATGTCAGTATAGTGGCTTTTGGATTAGCTTTCCGACCGTCTGTAGGAACCTTCACTGTGGAAAATGGGTGCTTAAGCAGTATGCCTTTTTTGCATTTATATTCGATGCCCTTATAAATTCGAACGTGTTTCATAGAAAACACGCGCAAAACATTCCTTTTTGTACTCATTTTGCGGGAAACTAAGTCCTCTTTAGGTGGTGCACTGAATGAAAAAGTATCTCTCAGATCTAAAAAAAGGGCATAAAATGTCCAAATATACAGCACCGCATCAGCATATTTATTAATGATGCTTATAAAATGGACAACGTGGTCTACATCCATTGCAAAATTTTATGAACCCTATATGACGTCGTCCTAACAACATAGAGACATGCGACACCCCTTAAATAGCGCACAGAATTGCGTGATTTCCCTCACACAGGAGATATACGGCCTGTAGTTTGGAAATTCGATGCGCGTCTAGCAGTAGGTCGGGTGCAAAGCCATTCGGGAATTGTAAAAAACTGAGCGACACGCTACCTTCAAGTATAATATTTGAAGAAGCCGTAATTTGCTACCGGGCAAGAGAAGAAGGGACACTTTAGGACGTATTTTCTATGAAATGTACTAGGGTTTATAAGGGCGCCGAAAACCAATTGGAAAACTCATCTACTTAAGTAGTCATTTTTGCGCAGTGTGGTTTATGCAGGTGGCTGATAAGGAGCTCCTTCGAAAGTCGACGCCCTGACGTGACAGATATTCTGGTATTGTGCTACACGGTAATTACTACTACAACCCTACTTAAGTAATCTTTTCGAGTCGAAAACTCATTTCGGAATCTCAGCGAATATTCTGAGGTAGTATGCCAACTGTACCACTTGAGCAGTCATTTCAGGTGACCGAAAAGAGACGAATTCATAAGCCGACACCCTGCCGTGACTAAAATATCTTGGAACAATGCTACACATCAACCAGCATTATACTCCAGGCTAAGTAATTATTTCCAAACGAAGACGCATTTCGTAAGACACACCATATACTGTATTCCGTCCTGGACATGTAGAAAAGGCGATCTTAACCGAAACTGACAGTTCAAACAGTACGGCCTCTGCCTTGAAAATTGGTGGACAGATGGTAGCGTGGAACTTCTCAGTTAGTCTCCGCCTGTGTTGGTGCGTTTTGCGTGACTAGACTCGGAGAATTCCTGTTCCCTCTTTTAAACTAGTAACTGCAGATGGCGATGTGCACTTAATTCGCCCAGGAACCCCATAAACTTTGTTAATTTCTGACTTCTGACTCCTTCGGGTGTCCATGGTCGTTCTGAAGGCTGGAGGGATAACTCTCGAAGAACTGTACCAAGTCCCGGCCTTTCAAACCAGTATATATGCTGAACTCATATGCCCATGTCAGGGAAGGTTTTAGACCTTTTTTAATATTCTCAGAAATGAGTGTGTGAACTTGGGTTAAATCTTTCGGAGCAAACCTTTCTAGGCTTACTTCGAACGTTGACGAAAGGCCCTCGATAATACCAATGGTACTAGATCATCAGGGATTCCCCTGCCCGAAAACTAAATACGGCAAGCATCCAAAGACGCTTGCTGTTGCGTCATGCTGCGACAAAATCGGTTTTGAACTAGTACCTGTGATGCCAGTATGGTGAATTATTCGGGGCTGACCTCGTTCGTGTCTCCGATGTGCGCGTTTTCGGACAGCTAATCAGCCGTCAAAAGGTCTGTAAGCGAGTGCTAGGCCGGTATCAGGAAACCATGGCCATCGCAGTCTTGTATGCGTTGGCGGTTCCCTGACAACTGGTTCCCTGCCGGTAGATGCGCTTGCGCTCCCGCTCGGTATACAAGTGGTGGGCATGGCTGCCCAGTCGTCCTCGTCGCCCTTCTGATCCCCGTTGGGTTGTTGTTGTTGGTGGCGGTGGTGGTTGTGTTGGTTGTGGTGGTGGTGGTGGTGGTGGTGGTGGTGGTGGTGGTGGTTGTGAAAAGTCCTGATGAAGTGTATGTTGTGGACTAGGGGGGTGGTGGCAGGCCTAGGTGCGGGTCCAGTCGTGCCAGCCACCTGCGCCCCCTCCCGCCTCCGGTCGTCTTGACTCTATTTTGACACCGGATCCAGGTGGGAAGTTGGAAAGAGAAGGCGACGTAGATGCTGTGCAAGCCCACTATCACTATAAACTATTTCACGCACAGGTCACTGTCCCTGCTTCACCAGGTTGTGGAGCACTCGGTGAACATCGTCGGAAACGACGGTCGAACTGTCGATCAGACGTTCGGAGGCCACCGAATAAAGTCCATTGTTTTCTTCTTGTCAACACTAGAAACATTCGATTTTCGTGCTAGCCAATTCATCGGAACCTCTCTATGTGAGTTGTAATATGAAATAATTCTCTGCTCCACGTCTGACGGTTTATGAGATCTGTAGCTCTTGCAACTCCTTCAGAGGTTCCCGCCTTCAACGCTTTCACACAGACTACGATCGGTCACCCGGGTCAAGCATCAGGGAGGATGTCCTGGCCTTGCCGAGACATACAAGAGTCACTAAAATGAAGGGTGAGACCCAGATCTCTGACCCACCGTCGCCATGTGGCGACTATCTGACAGGTAGAGCGGAAACTATGAGCAATTTGGATGATACGCATATGCTGTTTATCAACCCCCAAATAGGTTAACCACAGCCTTGTCGCTCGCGTTTTGATGCAAATCAAGGCAGTGCCGCAGATGTACGGTGGGGAGGTCGCAGGCGCGAACTCAATTTCAGTTAAAATCCACAAATACGGTGGTCTCCAACTAAAACAAGTATATCAGGGGGCGTGGCGACAAGGAAAAATTCCGCGAAAGTTCAGGGGCGCAGTCATTGTTTATTTACAAAAGCGCAAAAGAAACCAAGTACATGTAAGTAAGAGAAACTAATAAATCTCCGACAATCACCCAGTGATCTCTCTTCGATTGTCCTTTGAGAAAGGACCTCTCGAAAATCAACATGAATTTCAGGAAAACCGTGGGACTCGCGATGTGATCGCTGCAGCTCAGGGACTGGGGATCAGCCTTCGCGTTATCTCCGCGGATCTAATCAAGACACTCGACATATTAAACCGGGAACGACAACTAAAAGGAAATAGAAAAATTCGGTTGCTCCGAAGGGTTTATGCTGGTGGCCAGATGATTTCGCGGTGGCATGGGGGAACATGTCAAGGACAACATATCAATGTCGTGATTTCCCGAGTCGACGGGTAGCAGGACTGCGTTCTCTCCCTTCCCCCGTATCGCCACCCTTCCCATTTTCACGTTCTGCATTGTGCTAACGGATGCCTACAGTGAGGATCGGCCAGACATCAACATGAGCTGACGGGCCGACGGAAACATACTCAACATCCACTTCATGCAGCCCTCCGGGACCGGCATGCGTGGCCGCTTTGCCAACGACCATGCACGAGACAACAATTGGAGTGGACAAAGTTCGGATCTGTTCGCTTCCGGATGCGCCAAAGTTGGACTGACCAGAAAAGTTCGCTGTGCACGTATTGACGACACATGTCGAGTACACTGGACATATGCTAACTGTGAATGGTAATTGCCTCAGAACAGTGGATCAGTTACCTTACCTGTACAATATCATCCAAAGAACTGCCAAAATCGATAAAAAGATTGCGGTCCAGATGTCTAGGGCCAGTTTGCTCCTTGACATGTTTCAGCACTGTTTCGAACCGCTACGGCATCATCCTCGGAACACAACCCAAGGTGCACAGAGTTGTCATCCTGGAAAGGCTCCTCTACACTGCGAAGACTTGAACAATATACTAAAGCCAAGCGTGAAGACTAAGCCACTCCCACCTATGCTGTCTCCGAAAGGTTCTAAGAGTCGATGGTAACGGAAAGGCGAGTTGCACGACGCAGTTGCGAAAGAGACACGATAGCTGAAGCAAGAGCTTCATTAGCTCTTGTTCCAGTGACCACGTCTCCTTCTTTGCGATATTAAGAGTGAAGGGACCGGAAAGGATCCTGGATGAGCAGGCTATAAAGTCGACTAGCACGTAGGACGTCTGTCACGTTGAAGTAGACCTAATGGCAGTGGAATGACCAAATAACGAGAACGATAAGGAAACACATGCCGAGATGACTCCTAAACGGGGACAATGTTACAGGCGCCCACAGAGAAGGCGTACGATCACAATCCTATATGGACACACCAAAGACCACTAGAAAGTTTTTAAACCAACCAAACGACCTGGAAAAAGCTTGTGCAAACATCATGTAGGCCAGAACAGCCGTCCTCGAGGTCCACTGAATAGATGAGGCCAAGGCAAAACGACGAGCAGGAAAGACTGCAACACCGCGCACCTACGTCACCAACTTGACATAATTTCAGGAAATATTTGCTTTTGCTTGCGGTTTACAGTCTTAATTTATTACAGCTTGTGCGTTTTAAACCGCGCCTCTCCGCCTCGATTAGGGACTCGACCAAGACGCAGTTTGTGTCATATTTTTAAAAAATTGCACTTGGAATTTCCAACAGCAGGATAGTTTGGGCTGCCAATTCCCATGAGTAACCCATCACCTGAGTGGTTGGGAAACAGCGTATCCGGGTGTGCATGAAATGTACGGTATGGCGGGGGTTGGTTGCTCATACCTTTTGCATGTATCACCAGCTATCGCAAACAATTACATAAGCACGGCAGGAACAGGTCTGTCAAGAGAGCTGTAGCATAGACGAGGATGCGAGTTTGCCCATACATTTCGATACCCACTACGTCGCTTAACGGACATATTATTTCATACATTAGAAAGTGTCCTTGTGATTAAGATCACGCCAGATTGGTTGCTAATAAGTATTAGCCAGAAAGGGCAAAACGCAGTACCGTTACTAATAGCTATTATTTTTGGGATGTAAGTATTATGCATGCCCCTAAAAGGTAATAAACATGGCAAAAGGTGTGAATAAATGAGATTTATTTACAATGTGTGGAGGGGGCAGAGGTAATCATACGATCGTTTCTTCGCTGCGGATGTACTCTCCGATATCTGCTTGATGAAACGCTATAATGGTCATCGGGTCAGTATTCTTCATTTGCGATGTTGATTTAGCGGCCACGCCAAATCCCTATGACAGTGAAAAAGACAATGACACCACTTACCAAGGGAATATCGTTCATACTCATTATAACGGCGCCGTCATACTGGGGGATGTCTTCGGAAACGCGTGCCAGGCCTGACTTCAAGACATGTTGACCATAAAGAAAGTGTTGCTCAGCCGCTGGCTTTACCCATATTCGATTCTTCGCGTACGGAGCTAGGTATGGGAGAGCGGTAATATGTAGACGGAATTTGCCTCCCTTCGAAAATTTGCCGAAGCACGTTCCGAAGCTAAGAAGATTCTTCCGAGCCACACTTTCGGCTTTCTTCGCGAGATCGACCCTAGTTTTCAAAAAAATCTAGGTCTCAAGGCAGGCGTACCGGCAGTAAAACACACGATCCCGGTGATAATAAAAGTTATACTTCTCGCCCGATCTTTCTAGGAGCACTGACGTATCTTGAATGCTTGGTTGAGTAAACAGAAAACTGCCAGAGCCTACTATTTGTTAATCTTTTCCACGAGCATTCGATGTTCATTGGCCTTTAGCTGCCGCATGCCGAACGTGGATGTGGCACGGGGTCAAAAAGGGAGCCTTGTGAAATGCAGGCCTTAGAGGGCAACTTTTGGGTCGATAATAAAATGAAGAGGGTATCTTACGGCGAAATGACTTGTACCTAGCAGGCAAGAAAAACACGGACGGCCGCACGCGCCTCACACCAAAACTAAATTATGCGCGTTTATGTAGGCTCAAGATTGCGTTTTTTCAAGTTCAAGCATGGGTGAAGTTTTAGACAAATGAATTTAGGATCTGTTCGAGCCTCTTTGGCATCCGTCTACTGTGCTGACCTTCTGCTAAGAATATCCTTATATTCAACCCAAATCAAGAAAGAAAGCTTTAGGAACGGGATAGACAGAAGGCGACGAATGGCACCACATTGATTGTCGTCTAAATTTGGACACCAAAAATATAGATTGAAAAGTTTTGGAAGGCGAACCTGACAAGGTTTGGAAGAAACTCCAAAACAGTCTAATGCGGGCGGCAGCTGCATATTTAAAATTCTCATGAAATTCTTGACGTATACAACTAAGGCACATAGCGCGCGCCGTTGTCATTTCACCCCTGATCGCGGACAAACAGTATGAGTGTTGCCCAACTCTCACTAAGCTTGCATCATAGTTGATCGTCTCGACCAATAATAAGGAGCAAAAGGGAGAAGAGCGTTCAGCAAACATATGGTATTTGAGGAAAAGGGACATTCGCGGAAACAAGTCTTCCCATGACTTGTAACAAGCTGCAAAAACTGATCGGTCGAAACCGTGCACCATTTCCAAACCTCAAAACGATTGGTGCAGGGCTTAGGTGTTCTAATGAGTGAAAACGATGGAAGGGCATGCCATTCGAATTCATTTGTTTGTGAAGGATTCGTGTCTTTTCGCTGTAATTCAAATTCTATGTCAGTCACTTTTCCCTTATATGCTTGCTTGGATGTTGACTAACTGACTTCAACGTTTACCATCTGCAAGGCCTCAGGGTCTTCTGCCGGACTGAGAGGACTAAAATGATTTCTACAACGTCCACCCAAGACTTCCAGTCTCCTCCATCAATATGCAGACTTTCCTAAATCGCTTCTTCCTACTGGAAAATTCCACTTAGCAAATATTTTCTCAGAAATTCCCCATAAGGGCAATGCAATTATACGGAAAATGAAGGTATTACTCATGGACAGAGCTTTAAGCGCCTCCGATGGTTGGCCACACTCCTCGTTCTCCAGCCACCCGTACGACAACGTCGTGTTATGGTCGTTGTCAACGCCGACTTTTAATGTTTTTAATGCTTTTAATACGCTAATTGTTAGAAGGCAAGTCGTAAATATAAAACTGGGTAGTGAAGACGAAGAGCGTTCATCTCCGACCTTAAATGACAGAAGTTTCTGCATGGCCTACAGTTGAGTTTTTGTCGACAAATGCATTTATTAATAATAATAATAATAATAATAATAATAATAATAATAATAATAATAATAATAATAATAATAAAATTATTATTGTATGTAATGCTAATTAACGAACAGATGATCTGTGAGGCAACTTTGACCCAATATGCGTGCGGCCTCCCCATTGGCGAAACCGGGGTCTCCACTACTCTCCTTATTTACTTAAATCGGCTGTCTAACGTCAGGTCGTTTGCCTCGCATCTTATCTTAATCAGCTCGACGATATCTGACACATAGTCAGGATTCTTGAATTTCTTTCTACTCCTATTAATCACATTGGCAAAAGAAGATGGCTGAATGGGTTGAATTCCCACTTCTTTGGCGACTAGACTTTTTCAGGATTTTCTTCAAACCCCTTGAAAGCGCTCATGCGCCACACAGATGTCCGATTATCAACCTGTTTGGCTCGTAGTTAATTAGCTCTGAATGCCAACATTTTTAGTGAGTACGACCGATTCGGATGAGTTGATGGCCGTCCGTTGAAGTTTTTACCTGCGTAATGGCTGTCTCCGTCCTATATGTGTGAGAACAATGCGCTCTCGCTTCAACCCATTTGATCATCCTAAATCACGGTTACACAGAGTTTAAGTCAAGAGTCTATCTTTCACAATGAAACTTGATATATGTCTCTCTCCTCACTAGTTCTTTGATGCATCCGTGGTTGAAACTTACCGCAAAACTACTATTTGTCACGATTTATTCATAAGTATGGATAATAATACAACATAATTTTGGTGACCACTGGAACCAGAAATGGTTTCTTTTAAATAGGAATGTATATCATTTACAAAAGGACATCGTCTAAATTGTGCCACGAATGGTAGGTATGAAAGCAGAGACAGATGGAGCCCTTGATACTAGGTTGTAGTAATCTACAAAATCACAAGGTATCAAGGTCTGTAAGCCGACAACGCTCTTGGCACCACAAACGCCGGTGATCTGGAGTTACAATTTTCTTGGTAAAAAAAGAAATGCTGGACAAATTCTACCTTCTTGCGCTCAGCAGCACGCATGAGGCTTAATAAGAACAAACTGGATCCTGAGACTAGTGTCCTTCCTAAAAGGACCTTCAACGGTTTTTTGTTTCTGAGTCCTGTAATTTCACAGGGTCAGAAGTCAGAGATTCACAGGTTGAATCTTCCCTTAGTAGTGACGTAATCTTCTCTGTGCAGTCAGTTTTGTTCTATTATGCTTCATCAGATATAATCCAAAGGTTCCGTTAAAATCTCGAAAACGGAAGGTGCATACTTTCTTAGCGGAAAATTTGTGGACTCTCAGACATTTAACGGTAATAGCAGGACCGACACCGACATCCTTTGAGAAAAACGCCTGCTGAGATGACCTCATCATCCATGATTTGGGCTCGTTCTCACTGTGCATCCTGCCAGCAAAGGGCTCCAAGAACATGATTACTACGTAGAGTGTGGTGCACGAGGATATGCCTTGCACTGGATGTCCATATAACCTGATTACGGATAAAAAGATCAAGAACGGCCTGTTTGATTTTAGGACGATAGTGCAGCAGAACATTGAGGACCAGGGGAGATTGCCAAATGTGAAGTTAATAAGGTTAGAGTTAAAAAGTAAAAGCAAAATAATATAATCTCAGGAGCATCTCAAAAACGGGTAGTCATCCACTAGTTACAAACACGGATGCCGGTAATAGCACGAAGACGGCAACGCAGCCTGTGGTAAAGGCAGGCCAGCACTCAACACAGAACGAACTAAGAGATGACCCAAAAATATTACCTGTCGTAGGGCCACCTGGCCTGGTCCCCTTAATAGAAATGACGGGAATTATGATATGCCAGCGAATGATATAACTAAGTTACTGAATCTACCGTTGCTTTCATGTCCTCTCAACTAATCTGATTGATCTATAAGACATGTGGTTGAGTGCAAAGACAGAAATTCGTCGCTATGGGAGACTGGAAAGTGACACAACGACAGTCGAAAGTCAAAATCAACCATGAGGATTCCCGCGGTACAGGGAGTCGACAGCAAAAAAATTGAATGCAGGAGGGTACTTCGTAAATCATCCCAGTCCTCATACAAAGATTTGTCAGAAATTCGAAATAGGGAACTTCGGGAAAGCCAACTATATCTAGTTGTTTGGATTTTGTCTGAATCAAATGCAATCTGATCCGACGACTGTGTCTTAAAAATCATGCTTCCTTTGTTGGTTTGCTAAATCCATTACTACAGCCAGATGCGGAAGTGGAAGTTCTAAAAGCGTTCCGGATAAGAAGAGGGAGTAAAGATACGGCAGAAAGAGTGTCACATCACCCTCTAAAAATTATGCAGGAGAGAAAAATGAAAATCAAATTTATCTCTTCAAAAAAGCTATCCTCTGGAGCTCGCATAACAGATGCCTTTTTTAGTCGAATTCGTCTTCAACGAAAAGGCTAAAATGTCTAGAACTTGTCCCAGAATAAAAACCGCGAATGAAGGGTGGCGAACACAACCTGGCTATCTTTGAGGGGAAGGTACTCCACAAAAATATGAAGGTTCAGTCAAATCAGCCAATAATACTTAGGACAGCGGCAGCTACACAGCTAACGCCTACCCCATTATGGGGTCAGCCGTTCGAAGCGACAGCAGAGCTATGCTGTTAACGCCAGTGTTCTGGCCTAAGAAGCCAAAGCTGCTGAAATCCATTAAGCGACGGAACAAGCCTACACAAATGATGTACGGGAGGACGTAGTAACTATTGCAAAAGTGACAAAAGTGTCTATCTTAAATCCTACCCAAAGCACTCTCCCTATTACCCCGGTGCCTCCTCATTCACAGGAAACTTCTGCTTTTCCTATATTATTCTCTTGCCACAAAGAAAGGCAAATACTGGTTGTATGCACAATCCCCCGAATTCTTCAGTCAGTGAGGATGCAGAACTCTGTGAAATCGTTAAATTAACTTCCGGATCTACTTTATATTTTCAGATAATCATTGTGGATTTTACCCGTCCTAAAATAGATTGGGTTTTGAATATCCGTCCATTCAGATTCCAACCTTTCGAGATATTTTCAGGTTTTTTAACTCATTTCAGCTTGCCCGCTTTCCAACAAGTGGCAATCACATTTTAGATCTTATCCTTACCATTCGTTGAGTGTCTCGAAACTTTTCTCTAGAAAAATACGAACTCAGAGAAAGACGCAGTATCCCATCCTTCGAGACGATCTCGGAAATCCCATGGTTGATGCCCAGTTAACCGCGGATAGCTTCAATGATTTCCTGTCCAAAACGTTTATTGAAGACTCGACCACTCCGCTTCCGACCATCCAGTCGTCAGTTTTGAGCGAACATTCATGCCCGTGGATAATGCGGAATGTCCATAACAGGTCACACCTCATTCTTCTATAGGATAGGGGGAAGAAATTTAACTGGATCAGTCTTTCTGGGTATGGCAGAGTCCTGAGACCGTCCACCAGTTTTGTGGCCCGTCGTTGCACCTGCTCTATGGCATCACTGTCTTTCTTCATCCAGGGCATCCATGATGGTATTCCGTATTCCAAGTGCGGTCTGACGAATGTGCCGAATATCTGTGAGAAGAGTTCTGGAGGAAAGATTTTGAAGGCACGCCTAATCCAGTGCATGATGCTGGTTGCCTTTTGGACGACTGTTTTGCAGTGCTGAGAGGGCAGCAAGTTTGACCATGTCCAGACACCTAGGTCTTTGTGCGTGTCCACTTCATTTAGTGGAACCCCATTTATGGTGTACTGATGTTTTGGGAAGCGCCACCGTCCAGATTCTAGTCGCAAGACTACACACTTGGATACGTTGAACGCTAGAAGCCACTTGCTGGACCACGCAGCCAGCTTATTAACATCTTCCTGTAGCTTTTGCGCATCTTCAACGCAGCTGATTGTTTTCCAGATCTTTATATCATCCGCAAACATGATGCCATCGCATTCAAGGTCTGCAGGACAGTCATTTATATAGATGAGGAAGAGGAGAGGATCCAAGACTGAGCCCTGCGGAACGCCGCTTTTTACTGGCACCCATTCGGATGTAGTGGCACCAACGATGACTTTTTGGAGCCTGCATGACAGGAAACTTTTAATCCAATTAAAAATGCTGCCCTGTATTCCACACTCCCAAATCTTCTGTAGGAGTCGTCCATGAGGAACGCTATCAAACGCCTTCTTAAAGTCAAAGAAGATGACGTCCACTGGACGGCCCTGGTCTGTGGCTCTTGTCCACTTTTCCTGAGAGTAAAGACTGCTTGTAAGACAGGAGTGACCACGACTAAATCCGTGCTGAGCAGCACATAACAGGTCCCTCTGCTCCAGATACGACAGTAAATGCCCTTTAATAAGTCGTTCCATTACCTTGCATAGAATGCAGGTTAAACTAATAGGACGGTAGTTTTCGGGTTCCAGTCTGGATCCTCCTTTATAGATTGGAGAAATATGGGCCGTTTTCCACTCCTCCGGCAGTTCGCCTTCTTCCATGGACTTCCGAAATATCATGGACACCGGCTCACAGAGTACATCAGCTAATTCTCGGAGGACAAGCGGATGAATTCCATCTGGACCAGGTGATTTGGCAGGTTTCAGCCGGCGTAGTTCGGTCCTTATCAACGTGGGTGAGATGAAACGATTGTCTTCCAATGCAGGACAGGAGGGATATTGTTGTTAGTCTACATATGGCATGGGAGGGGGGTTTGTGTCATGAGTGAATACCGACTGAAAGAAATTGGAGAAGGCTGATGCTTTCAGGTGGTCATCCGTCTCAATTACTCCGTTTTGGGATCTTAGCGCTGGAATCGGTTCACGATTGCTCTGTCCCTTACGTATGTAACTATAGAGGATTTTAGGATGCTCCAAGGAATTTTGTAATATGCACAGCTCATAGTTGCTTCGAAGTCTATGAGCCTCGCGTTTACACGCATTCCGCTGTCGCTTGTATTCCGTCAGGTCTTCAGGACTTTCTGTTTGTCGATAGCGTCTCCACACTTTATTTCTCCTCTTAAACGCGGTTTGAAGTTTCCGGTTTATCCACGGCGGACGGTTGCTAGTTATCTTTCGTCTGAGTGGACAGTTAAGATCAACGGGTCTTTTGACCAGTGAGCTGAACGTGCTCCAATAGTCATTAACTGTTCCTTGTAATGTGGTTGTCCACGGTATTGCTGAGGCTTGCGTTCGCATGCTAGAAAAATCCCCCTTCCAGATATTTGCTGTAATTGTTCAGGTGAATTAGGCTGGGAGAACATGGAATACTCGAAGAGCATCACAATATGATCACTAGCACCAATTGGCGGGAGATCTTGTGTATCCAGCACACTCTCCTCATCTCGAGTGAGCACCAGATCGAGGCAATTTGAACGTTGCCCTTCCCTAACACGTGTTCCGAGAGTTACATTCTGGAAAAGTAGTTTTTCTGCTGCCAATTCAAGCAAATGTTGTCCGAATGTGTTCGATGGACCCACAACCGTCCAAGCTTGCCAGTCGATATTGGGGGCGTTAAAGTCCCCTACAATAAGGACGTCTCTGTTCGAGCAGGTCTTGCTCAGTTCCCTTAGGAGAAGCCTATCGTGTTCGGAAATCTGGTTTGGGAGACGATACACAACTGCAAACGCCAGCGGCCTGGCATATTTGGTGGAGATAGTTAAAGATAGGAATTCGACTTCCGCTGTTGTTGTTGGATTATGCTCGGGGACCGCGGTTAGGTTGTAGCTAGCATAGACAGCGACCCCTCCTCCTCCTCCTCCTCGGCTTCTCCTGTCTCTTCTGAACAGTTGGTAGCCTCTGAGGGATACCTCATGATCTCCAATAGCTTCAGAGAGCTATGTTTCTGTCAAGGCGATGATATCTGGCGTGTACTCGTCGATCAGAGTCCTGAGTTCATCCATCTCGTTAAACAGGCTCTGCACATTCGAATACAGCACCTTTAGTGTCCGTATTCTCGGGGGGAACTGGCCCTGATTACAAAGGGGGTTAGCCACAGGAACGATCGTTTGATCTGTATTATCTTGTCTTCCTTTATTTTCAACCCCTTCTCCCCCTCTTCTGTCCTTCTTTTCAGTTCTGTCCAGAGCTCCCTCATCTTGTGTCTTTCTGTCGGTTCGTAATCCGGCTGAAAAAACACTTCCTTATGCGAATGACGAAGGGCCATCCTCCCTTCCAGGAGATGTGGGGCCTGGGCTTCATTTGCAAGGATAATTTTAAGAGGCCTTGGTAATGCACGCGACGCATCTGCGTTTCCTAGACGGAAAGCTTTGTGCACGGTAACACATTTTCCGTCCTGAAGGACGGCATTTGAATATGTTGGAAAGAAGTTGAGATCGTGCTCGATTCTTTCTTTTGCAGTCGAAGAATTGGACTCAGGAGCTCCCTTTATGACGATGTTTCGTTTTCGGTAAAGATGCCTGTCTGGAAGAGAGTCCCTACGTTTATTTTTACACGCACGTTCAGCATTTCGCCAATTTCCGTTGTCATCGTTTGACTCAGAGACAACTGTGATGGCGTAGCTACCACAGGGTTCCTCACCAACCGAGTCGTGCGATACATCCTTCGGCAGTGTGGTATTTGCTGGCATTGTGTGTGGACTCTGCTCTCTCGTACGAACAGTCTGACCTTCTTTTTCTTTTCGGGATGCCACGGGGCGCTTCTGCGTTTCCTGAGATCCCTCTCTGTCGTTCTTTTCTTGCACAAGAGGTCGGTTCTCAGTTGTGATTTCTTCCTTAGACGGGCAGTCTTCTTCCTTGGCGGCTGATCCAGTTAATGAGACTGTGCTTGAATATGTTCTCTTTGTTTTCTGAGGGTCTGACATCGCCGACTTTCTCTTTACGGGTGAATGGCGAGGAAGTTTCGTCAACTTCCCCATCTCTATTTTGAGGTCTTTTATCTCTTTCTCCATCTCCAAGACTTTCTGGAGAAGTCTAAAACACGCCGCATGTGTTTTATGTTCGTTCTTGTAGTTGACATCCATTAAGGTTACTAAACTCCTGGCCCGTTTGGCAGAAGGTTTGATAATGGGAAAGCCGATGTTACATTCATTAAGACAATGCGCATTGTTTATTGCATTATTATTTTTAGCTCGTCTGTTGCGCGTCTGTGGTCCATTGGTAGCGATGCTGCCCTCGTCACCTGCTTGACTGGGTTCGAATCCCACTTGGGGCGCACTTTTTGAGCAACATCCCGAAGGCACTTGTTCGACTACCATTTTCAAGTATATAAACTGGAGAAGTTTTTAGGGGTGTTCGAAGAGCTATTTAACCAGACGAACGATATTAAGCAAGTAGGAAACGATATGAAGCAAGTAACAAGCGACTCAGCCGTTTTTGGAATGGGGATCCCGCGGGACTGTTGGCAAAGAAGTGGTCCGAAAGAGAATGGTTGTCCCAGAGAAAGTCCTGTCGAAGTTCCGTGTGGATCGAGTAATTATTGTTTACGAGCCAGTTTCTTAATCCAAATAGGCCTTCAGAGCGTCCAGTCGGCAGAAATCTCGGGAAAGGCAAATCCGTCGGAGCTCGAAAATTTCAAACCGAATGCGAAAGGCCCGCCAGTAAGCATTTTAAAAGCCGATGCAAACACGATTTTCCCATCCCTCTTATGCAAGATATTTAATCTCGCTCTTGAAAGTGAAACTTATCCTACCTTGTGGAAGGAATCACATATTTTGCCAATTCGTAAGCACGGCAAATCTACATCATTTGATGACTTTCGGCCAATAAACACCCTCCCCGCAGTTTCGAAGATCTTAGAGACATTGATCAAGGATAAGATGCTGTGTCACTTAACAGTGAATAACCTACTGAGTGCTGCTCAGCATGGATTCCTCAAAGCTCGATCTTGTGACACCTGTCAACTCTCTTTCTTTGACTATGTTCTCCAATCTAGGGACCATGGTTTTGCTCTTTACACAGTATATTTCGATTTTACTAAGGCTTTTGACCGTGTTGATCATGCTCTTCTTCTCTTGAAATTGTCCTCTTTCGGAATAGGTGGCAAACTTTTGAATTTTATATCCTCTTATTTGCGCACTCGCACACAACGTGTTAAGATTTCCAATACCATCTCCAACCCCACACGTGTGAGGAGTGGAGTCATTCAGGGTAGTGTACTCGGCCCGCTTTTATTTTGCCTTTTTGTTAATGATGTACCCGATTTATTCCAGAATGGTAAGCCTTTCATGTATGCCGATGGTCTTAAAGTTGCATATCGATATAAGCCGGCAGATCATGACATCGTGCTTGAGCTCCTAAAGAGCGATCTACAGGCTTTCGCCCAGTGGTGCCGCACATGGCGCCTTTCTCTTTCTTGGCATAAGTGCTCAGTCATGGTGGTTGGCGACGACCACCAACCTCAACTAAGTATTGAAGGTCACGCCATAAATGTGCCTGGGGTTATTAAGGATCTGGGCGTATCATACTCCAAGAGTCTCAATCTCTCGGAGCACTGTGCCTTGATAGTCTCCAAAGCACGTAGAACGACCGGGTTTATCCTCCGAAATTTTAAAACTAGGGACATTAGAATGCGCCTTTTCAACATGTACGTTAGACCTGGTCTGGAATACTGTTCGTTCTCATTTAGCCTCATGCGTGCTACTGAGCGGAAGAAAATAGAATCCGTTCAACACTTTTTTACCAAGAGAATTTTAACCCCGGAACACCGACATTTGTCTTACCAAGAACGTTGCCGGCTTACAGGCCTCGATCCTTTATGGTTCCGTAGATTACAAAAGGGACTAGTTTTGCTCTAGTTTTGCCTCTGGCACGTATTGTTAAATATCGTCGGTTCTTTTCTGTAAATGCAATTGCTATTTGGAATAAACTACCCATGAGTGTGAAAACTCTGCAAAATTATCCTTTATTTAAGAGAACTATTACTCGATTTTTGCATTCAGAAAAGCTCCCACAAATTTTGGGTGCTGAATCTACTGATCGACTGTACCGTAGCGATGGCGTTTGTGGTCTCTGAACATTATGGCCGGTCTCACCAGATGTTCCTCAACGCTTATACTTTGACTATCCCCAACTTCATGAAAGGAATTTGACGTCCGATAATCTCCGATACCGTGCAACCTCCCCCCTTCTTGACGGTCGATATTCTACCACCGCCGGCACTTTTTTCTCCTGAGCCCTTCAAACCATAAAAACCACCATCAACTATATTTTTATCCCTTTAGCTCAGGAGTTTTTTTCACTGCTGGTTGGATTTGTGTTTAATCGCTTCCCTTGACAATGCCTGTAAAGTGGCATTAAATAAAAAAAATTATTTATTTTTTTATTTATTGTCCCTATCTTGTTGCTTTCAAAAAGGACCTTTTTCATAGGAACCACTCATTAATTCATTCTTGCTTACCACTTGGCTTTTCGGAAACGACACGCGCATTTCGGACTTACCTAAATTACCACTGCGTGGATAAAGACTTAATAAATAACTATTGGATAACTGGATTTGCGTGGTCATCTCACCTGTGGTGGTGCAACCGTTCTTGGTGACGTTTCCAAAGATATCATAGAATTTGTGCCTCGTAGATATCTCAAGTCTAACACCTCGGATTCCCTTGTTCGTCACTTTCTTTGCGACAGACCAGGAAATATACTGAATTTTTAAAAAGACAAAATGAATGTAATTTCGTTGGCTGTTAAGGAGAAAAATCGTCGCCCATGGAACGAGTTTTCCCCCAGTCCATTGACCGTTATTGAAATCTGACTGCTTATTCTGTAAGCATTTACTGAATATTATGCAGAATCTGACTACTTGATCTGAAATTATCTTTAAAATTTATTTTACTTGCGTGACTGTATCTCTAAGGCTACTCAATAAAATAATTTTTTTCCTAACTATCAACTTCACAATTTGCCTTACCTAACTGTCCTCCGATGCAACGATACTAACCGAAACCTGGCTATCTTACAAAAATAAAAACACAATGGAATAGACTTATTATAGCACCTCATGGGTGCTGTAAGTCTCCTCAAACCACTGGAGAAAGACACAAAAGCCGATCTATTTTTGGTTTCTCTTTGACTACATTTTTTTCAGGTGTGTGCTTAGTCATCAGAGCGTGAGTTGGGAGTTTGTTTTTAGTTAAGCTATAGCGAAGTAGCATAAACTGGATGCCAAGTATATTGGAGGGACAGGAAAAACCGTCAGGGCGGTGGCATATTTGTGAATGCAAAAGAAGTCCTGATGGTGTCGAAAAGAACCATAAAGTTTGATTGCAGCACGAAGGCTATTTGGCTGATCATCGTGGTTACTGGATTCCCGTGTCTCGATGTCTTTACTACCCATCAATCACCTAGTATTCAATGTAAATGATGGGTATAGGATAGGTTTGTTATAGCGCCCCTTGGGCACTGTCAGCCTCCTATGAACTGAGGAAAAAACCTAAAACCAACTCAGCCATTTCGACTGCACTTTGATTTCGTTTGTTTTAGACGTCTGTTTAGCCAATAGAGCGCGAATTGAGAGTTTGTTTTAAGTTAAAAAAACCCGAGTTCCAAGGAAAACTAATTGAAAACGTTTTTTAAGGAAGAACGATATGTACAATACACAAACTGAAGCGTGTAGTTTGGTAGTTTCTGATGGGCAAGAATAATATGTCCTTCATAGAAGCTGAAGGACTTTGATATCGATCTAACCTTGAAATTATTTTCCAGTTGGGCAAATTTCGGTGTCTCCCAGTTGGTGTGTAATAGAGGTTGTTTGACTTAAAGGAAAGGAAATAGTAAGGCAGGAAATAGAAAGAGAGCAGCGTGGCTGAATCACTCCTTTCTGATGTGCAGGCGAGGACGTCGAGGCGACTGCATCCGTTGATATTCTGCCATCGGAATGACAACGTTGAACTACTCTGAGCCCACCTCGCCAACCATATTAACGTTTTTCTCTTTTATCCTTTTTTATATTCGTCGCTCCCTTTTTCACTCTCATCCCTCCTGTTTTCCGAATATATGTACCCCTTTATCAACGATTTCTGTCACGTACCCTGTCTGTGTGAATCCCGTTGCTGGAACTATGAGCGTCGTCCTGGAAGATCCTAACTCTGTGACGGACGACGGACCTTTTTTAGGAGCAACTCCCCGTCCACCTACAACATTAACTGCGCAACCGTCCAGGTCTACCAAAGGTGAGTGTTCCTCGGCTACAAAAGGTGGTTGCCAGTCTATCTGGCCAGCTGTAAAGGGACGGTCGCACATTTCCTTCGTGTTTTTCAGGAGGCTTGCCATAAGTCTCGGGACTAAGAGCTGGAAAAGATGAATATATATCAGGAGCAAGAAACAATCAGTGGTAAGTCACAATAAAAACTGTCAAAATAATATTAAATCATGTATCATATTGATTCTTGTGAATGTGACATTATAGGATTAGTGGTCGACTGTTTACTATGATCTAATATAGTTCTATGCATGTCTAATATGGCCTTAATATAGACTTGCGCACAACTAATATGCAGGGTTTTATCGAAAGTGATGTTACTATTAGCTCCTTAAGGGATATTTATTGTCAGGTGACATAACTGATGGAAACGAGAAAGAGAGGAAAGAAAGAATGTCACTATTTGTTCTATGGTTATCAATGATGCTGTCT